GCTGCGGCTGCTGCTGTTGCTGTTGCTGCATGTATGCTGCGGAAGTTGCTTGAGGTTTTCTTTCTTTTTAATTATCTCTAATCTAAACACATTTATTGCTGCTGCATGCATCGGGGCTGCAGCAGCAGCAGCCCCAGCGGGGCCCTCGTCGGGTGTATGCGCAGATAAAGAAATTAATTTGTTTTGATGTTAAAAGCATTAAAATAAAGAAGAAATAAAAATATAATGTGGATACTGTTGCTACTGCTGCTGCTGCTAGTGCAACCGCTAGTTCTGCTGCTGCTGCTGCAGTTGCTGCTACCCCTCTACGGTCCATGCTGCTGCTGCTGCTGCTGCTGTTGTTGTTATTAGTTGCTTAGCGCATGCAAATGTGAGATAATATTTGCTGTTTATTTTTTGAAGTTTTGTCTTTTGCTGAGGACCAGCAGCAACGGCTGCTGTCCTCGTTGTTGCTGCTACAGTTGCCGCTGCAGCAGTTGCTCCTGCAGCAGTTGCTGCTGCTGCAGGTATTGCTATTGTTGCTGCTGCAGCAGTTGCTGCAGCAGCAGCAGCACGGTTTGTGTGCGTGTGTTGGCTACACGAGGTGTCTGTAGAGCTGATTGCTGCAGCTCTTGTCTTCTTGTTGCTGCTGTCTGTCTCTGTCTTTTATTATTTATTTATTCATCTCGTTTATATATATATATATATCCCTGCCCGTCTTCAGTGTCTCTCTCCTTTATTTATCTAATTTAATTAATTAATTAATTAATTAATTAATTTACTTATTTATTTGCATCTCAGCAGCAGCAGCTGCTGCTTCTGCTGCTGTTGCTGCTGCTGCTGCTGTTTCTGTGTGTGCATTGCTTGCTGCACTTCTTTAAGGTATAACACTGCCATCAGGGAGGCCTTTTAGCTGGTTGCTGCACCGCTGCAGCAGCAAAGAGCAGCAGCAGCAGCTGCTGCTGCAGCAAAGCAAAGGAAGTTACGCACATAGGTGTCTGTACACCCAAACCCCTGCATGCATATCATGGGGCCCCTGCTGCTGCTGCTGTTGCTGCTGCTGCTGCTGCTGTGGGGAGAGCTCCCCAGTGCTGTTTCTTCCGCTGCTCGCGCCTGCTGCTGCTGCTGCTGCTGCTGCTGCTGCTGCTGCTTTTGATTCTAACGATATTGCGGAAGGACTTCGCTATATTTAGAGGTAAGTCTTGGGGCTGGCAGCTGCAGCTGCAGAGCAGCGGCACCCCAGTGGAGTGTACATACACCTGAATAGCAACTTGAAGCATCTGCGCAAGGTCTCGCTGCACTGCTGCTCGGCCATCTCCTTCTGCTGTTGCTGCTGTTGCTGCTGCTGCTGCAGTGCCTACCAGTTCTTCAAGTTGCAGCAGACAGACAGCAGCGCCTGCTGCAGCAGCACGAGAGAACAGCAGCAGCAGCTGCTGCTGCGACCTCCCCACAGCAGCATCCATAATATCAGCAGCAGAAGCGCAGAAGCAACGGCAACCTGCTGCTGCAGTTTCGCTTAAAGCTGCCAGCAGCAAATTTGCTTCCAGTGCAGCAGCAGATCCTACAATCAACACGCAGACAACCCCTGCTCTTCGGGCCCAACGCCAGCAGCAAATGCTGCTGCTGCTGCTGCTGATGCTGCTGATGTTGCTGTGGCTGTTGCTGCTGATGCTGCAGGTGGTGGTTGTGCTGCTGCTGATGCTAATGATGCTGTGGCTGTTGCTGCTGCTGGAGCTATTATCATCTCTCTTGCTGCTGCTGCTGCTGTTCTTGCTGCTCTCGCTGCTGTTCGAGATGCAGGAGCAGCAGCAGCACTGCAGCCGCAGCCGCGGAAGGGCACAGGCGCCAAGCAGCTCTTTTTCAAAGGTAGCACAGCTGCTGCTGCTGCTGCTGCTGCTGGTGCTGCTGCTGCTGTTTAGGTGTCTAGCTAGAGCAGCAGCTGTCAGTCTATTTATTGTATTATTGAAGCGCTCTAGGGCCTTCTCTCCCTCTTCATTTGCCGCTGCAGCAGCAGCAGCCTGGGGTGCTTCTTGCTGCAGCGGCAGCAGCTGCTGCTGCTCCCGCTGCTGCTGCTGCTGCTGCTGCTGCTGCTGCATTGCATGCAGCTGCTGCAGCGCACTCGGCGCCAACTCTTTAAAGAGGGAAGCCAAAGACTGAGGAGGCCCCCACCGCCACACTGCTACCACGTACACAGTTGCTGCTGTTGCTGCTGCTGCTGCTGCTGCTGCTGCTTGATGAACTGTACAGGCAGAAGCACTACTGTCACCCGCAGCAGCAGCAGCAGCAGCAGAAGTAGCGGCAGTAGCAGCAGCAGCACAAGATCTCACATTACGGCATCCCAAAAGCAAAGACTTCAGCAGCTGGTGCTGCTGTTCAACAACACTTCTGCTGCTGCTGCTGCTGCTGTCTCCTTCACTGTCGCTGCTGTCGCTGTGCTGCTGCCGGATTTGAGAAGCAGCAATAGCAGCAGCAGCAGCGTCGCCATGCTGCTGCTGCTGCTGCTGCTCCTCGCATGCGCCAAACCAGGTGTCCGGGTGTATGAGCAGCAGCACTTTGACACGGGCCCCCCCCCTTACTTCTGCTGCTGCTGCTGCTGTTGCTGCTGTCCCTGCCGCTTTGAATGCTGATAAGTGCTGCTGCAGCAACGGGGCCCAGCCTCTGCTTCCTCCCCACAGATCCGCGCAGCAGATGGGGTGTACATACACCTCATCTTGAGACCTTTGCTGCTGCTGCTGCCGCCTTATTATGCGGCCATCGCTCCCTAACGTCCAGTAGCGGCTGCTGCTGCTGCTGCTGCTGCTGCTGCTGCTACTGCTGATGTTGCTGCTACTGCTGCTGCTGCTGTTGTTGCTGGTGTTGCTGCCTGTGCCGCTGCTGCTGCTGTTATGTTCTCGCAAGGGCAGGACACAACTACGCTCTTCCTGTAGCAGCAGCTTCTGTTTCTGCTGCTCTTGCTGCGCCTCTTGCTGCTGCTGCTGCTGCTGCGGCTGCTGCTGCAGAAGCCTGATAATGTGGTGAGTCGTTGCTCCGGGGTTCCGCGGGCAGCACTTTAAGGAGAAGAAATAACAACAGTTGCTGCAGCCACCAGCTCTGCCCATGCAGCAGCAGCAGTTGCTGCTGCTGCTGCTGCTGCTGCTGCTTGCGGCGTCACGCTGAATCTGCTGCAGCAGCTGCTGCAGCGTCTCAGGAAGCAAATCAGGGTCAAGAATACTCTCCTTCATTCTCCACGATACAGTTGAAGCACCTGCTGCTGCTGCTGCTTCTGCTGCTGGTGTTGCTGTTGCTCTTGCTGCTGCTGCTGCTCCCGTCCGAGAAGGACCGCAAGCAGCAGGAGGAGCAGCAGCAGCAGCAGCGCGTCTTCCACCTAAAATCAAACACAAAAATAAAAATAAACAAAACAAATTTAATAAAACTAAAAGAAGATTGAGAATGCTCATCAAATGGCCCCCATAGGGGCCCCCAAGTGGGGCCCTCGAAGGGCCTCCCGGGGGCCCCCCGGGGGCCCCCCATAGGGGCCCCCTATAGGGACCCCCCGGGGGCCCCTAGGGGGCCCCTCTATGGGGGCCTCCTATGAGCCTAAGGGCCCCTAGGGGCCCCCCCTATGGGCCTATGGGCCTAGGGGGCGCCCAGGGGGCCCCTTAACAGTAAGGCTTCATTGGGGGCCCCTTCCTGTAGAGGGCCCCCATTGGGGCCCCCATTGGGAGCCATTTACTC